GCCACTATGCCCAGCTAATTTTGTATTTTTAGTAGAGACAGGGTTTCTCCATGTTAGTCAGGCTGGTCTTGAACTCCCCACCTCAGGTGATCTGCCTGCCTCAGCCTCCCAAAGTGCTGGGATTACAGGTGTGAGCCACCGCGTCTGGCCCTACACTTAAAATCTTTTATCCATTTTGAGTTAATTTGGTATATGGTTTTAGGTAAGGGTCAAACTTTATTCTTTTGCATGTGGATATCCAGTTTTCCCAATATTACTACTTGAAAAGTCTGTCTTTTCCTCATTGGAACTCTTGCAAAAATAATTTGACCATTTGTGTGAGGGTTTATTTCTGGGTTCTCTGTTCTATTCCATTGGTATACATGTCTGTCTCTCTTTTTTTTTTGAGACGTAGTTTCACTCTTTTTGCCCAGGCTGGAGTGCAATGGTGCCATCTCCACTCACCACAACCTCTGCCTCCTGAGTTCAAGCAATTCTCCTGCCTCAGGCTCCTGAGTAGCTGGGATTACAGGCATGCACCACCACGCCCGACTAATTTTTTGTATTTTTAGTAGAGATGGGGTTTCTCCATGTTGGTCAGGCTGGTCTCAAACTCCCAACCTCAGGTGATCCATCTGCCTCAGCCTCCTGTGCAGCTGGGATTACAGGTGTGAGCCACTGCGCCTGGCCTTATTTTTATTTTTTTTTGTTTGAGACAGAGTCTCACTCTGTTGCCCAGGCTGGAGTGCAATGGCACAGTCTTGGCTCACTGCAACCTGCGCCTCCTAGATTCAAGTGATTCTCCTGCCTCAGTCTCCCAACTAGCTGGAATTACAGGCGCATTCCACCACGCTCAGCTAATTTTTGTATTTTTAGTAGAGACGAGGTTTCACCATGTTGGTCAGTCTGGTCTCAAACTACTGACCTCGGGTGATCAGCCTGCCTCGGCCTCCCAAAGTGCTGGGATTACAGGTGTAAGCCACCGTGCCCAGCCTGTGGTATGTTTTGAAATCAGGGAGTGTGAATCTTCCAGCTTCATTTTTCTTTTTAAAGATTGTTTCAGGTATTCAAGGTCCTTTGACATCCCATATGAATTTTATGATGGGTTTTTCTATTTCTGCAAAAATTGTCATTGGGATTTTGATAGGAATTGCATTGAGTCTGTTCATTGCTTTAAGTAGTATTGACATTTTAACAATTTTGTGTCTTCCAATCCATAAACATGAGATGTGTTTCCACTTGTTTATATTTTTAAACAATTTCTTTCAGCAATGTTTTATAGTTTTCATTGTACAAGAATTTTACTTCTTTGGCTAAATTAATTCCCAAGTATTTTTTTCCTTTTGATGCCATTGTAAATGGAATTGATTTTTGTAATTTTCCTTTTCTGATCATTCTTTGTTAATGTATAGAAATGCAACTGATTTTTGTTTGTTTGCTTTGTATCCTGATACTTTGCTAAATTCATGTATTAGTTTTAATGCTACTAGTTTTTGTGAGATCTTTAGTATTTTCTACATGTAAAATAACATCATCTGCAAACAGATAATTTTACTCTTTCTTTTCCAATTTGGATGCCTTTTGTTTCTTTTTCTTGCTTACTTGCTCTGGCTAGAACTTTCAGTACTATGTGGTTTTTAGTTTGTTTTGGCTTGTTTGTTTTAGAGATGGGGTCTTTCTCTGATATCCAGGCAGTAGTGTCCCAAAATGTTGAGATTACAGGTGTGAGCCACTGCACCTGGCCAACTATGTTTTTTTTTTTTTTTTGAGA